TATACTTATTCTTACACCATTAATGTAACCTTTTCACCTTGACATAATAAACTTAGCTAAACATAATGAAATAAATAAATAAAATAAGAACACAAATAAGATAAGAGTTAATTAAATAAAGGAAAGGAAATGAAAGGCATAAACTTGATAATAATGAAAGTGAAGCATAAACATTACAAAAAATACAAAGAGAGAAAGCAAGAGCATAATCTTGATCTGAAAACCAAGATGCCTAAATGCATGACAAATGTCTCCTTTTATAGGCCAAAATTGGAAACTATTGATTTGATGACTAATTGATGAGTGGGCGACCAACTCTTGACTTGGTGACAATCCTTATCTTTTTTTTTGTCCTTTCAATTTCAGTTCTTAAATTCATCAATCAATCCTTTTATTTATATGATAGGCCTGCATTTAACATGAATATTTACAATAAATTAAAGGTATCTTATATTATTAGATATATTATTATAAAAAATGCTTTAGTTAAGGAGTTATTGATATTTCAAGTGTAAAAATAATGATATAAAACCTTGATAAAAATGCACTTTTAAGTATTAATCAAAGTTCGAGTCACGGGTTGAAAGGGTCAACCCGGGTTGATCCAAATAAAAACAAAATAACCTCGTTTTGACCAAAAATATATATAAAAAAAACTCAATGGATATTTTCCCTATATTCTATCTTAGATTGAGCAGACTGCAAACTAATCTGAGTTTTTCATCGAGTCATATCAGTCTTTTTTTTTTTATTTTAGATTCAGACCAATCCAAGTTTTATTTCAGCTGAGTCTTGTCTAATGTTTACTAAATATAAAATAAAACAAATTATCTCATCCAATACAAAGTACACTAAAAACAAAATAAGATAATTATTTAGATTTACATAAAATAAAACAAATTATCTCATAAAAAATAGTCAAGCATGTCAAACACTTTCATAAAAAATGGCGATGGCAATTGAAATCAATGGTTAACAATTAGAACCACATTGAATGGTTAAGCTTTCTAGTAAAAACAGTAATTGTTAATTACCGATGACTAATTTTGGCTTTCACGATAATAAAATTCAAAACTGTAATTGAACGGTTCTAATTATTAGTATTTTTTTAAATATATCAAAATATTATATATATTTTTTATTTTATAAAATTTATTTTTAATATTAATATATAAAAACAATAAAAAAAAACTTAATTTTAAACAAAAATAAATTTAAATTTTTAATAAACATACAATCTACCACATTCACATTATCATGAACTGCCCGTAACTCAAACCACAACCATGATTCACCACCACCACCCTTATCAAATATTAAAACTTATCAATATTAAAAATTTATTTAAGAACATGATACAAATCTTTTATATTTTTAAATTATTTTAAATTGTTAACATCAAAAATTATTTTTTAAAAATAAAAAAATATTAATTTAATATATTTCTAAATAAAAAATAGTTTAAACCACAATCTTAGCCACACCCACACCCTCCCTGAATCTTAAAAAACCTTTGTTAATTGACTTTATTTGACTACCATCAATTAATACATGATACTGGCTCAGTTAATATCACACCAATCAAGCCTAGAGATGCTGGACAAGACAACTTTGTGAAGATGATAACTAGCATGCCTTTTCCTCGGCATGAGAATAACACATCGGGAATAATGAAAATAAGAAGAGTGCCATTCTCTCTGTGCCCAGACTACATGGAGCAAAAGACAACACTAGACGGAAATGAATGCACATTGCTTTCTTCCTTTCATTTTCTTTTCCTGGGTTGCCTAATTATTCTTTAAATAACAGGCACAGGAAAGATGCAACATCCACAACCTCCTTTCCACACCCACCATTATACACAGGTTAACCTCTAACAAGTCCCATTCACTCAAAGAATAACTGTACAAACAAATTATTTTAGATGATAAAACAGGGCAGGACACCAGAAACAATGGAAAAAACTTGCGCTATGGTTCGCGTTTGGAAGGTGCCATCCTTGGAGGCCGTGAATGGTTTTGCCTATTATTAAGGATGTCTATGTAACGGCGGAGCCTATAACGATCTGAGTTTGTGAGAGAAAATGGAGGGTTGAGGATAAGGGATGGTGCTTCCACTAGAAGGAACACTAACAAACGAACTGCTTTTGAATATAGCAATGCTGCCTTTTCCAAATCACCCATGAGTTCATCAACCTGCCATGACATGAATAAAACAATTTTTCTTTAGCACTGTCCAGTTACTCGAAAGCAACATGTTGTGTCAGTAGCTTCATTTTGACAATTGCATACATGCTTCTTTGAGTGAAGGAGATGAATTCAAGTATCAATGGTAATTAGACAACTGATCCACAAGTCAAGACTCAAGTCCAAAGAACATTCAGGAGTACTAAATGCTGTACAAACTCAACATCTTGTAACTCTTTTCTCCCAGTTCACTGCACAAGCAATTTCCCCATTCTAGATGCACATAGCATGGTTATTAAAGGCTCTTGTTCATCTGAACTAGTAGCCACCATTCCAGAAATTACACTCCAGTTTTTCAAGCCTATCTGAAGTAGAGACCTCTACAGACCTACATTTTATTCATATCCCAGTACAATATTAAAGTGTTCGACAGTAAGGGCAACCAGAAAGCACTAAGAAAAAGTTGGAAAAGAAGGGGCGATGCCATTGGCACAACTTCTTTAAATGAGATGTCAAAATTATCCTTAAGTTCTATAAAATATAGTAAGTCATACAATTTGGGAAAGACATTTTTTACATCACTTCAAAATTCTGTGCCAATAGACTTGTAGGTGTGCAAAGGCATTACCTAGAAAAGAAAAAATATGTAAAGAGGAAGGATCAATACTCACCCCTCCAATTCTTCCCAGGTAAAGGGCAGATTGAAATATTGTCTCCATTGCATCAGGCATCACTATACTTCCTGCAAACATCATGAATAATTGAGAACTCTGTTCGTTTTGATTTTTGTAACATCACAAGAAAAAATTCTCAAGTGTTATCATTTGGTACCGACAAGGTGCCATTTCAAGACAAGCACGGATTGCAAGTGCCATTGATCGACTCAAAAGTAAATGTGTGTCAACTTGTAGCATGTTAAATAAATATTTGAAACCCCATCACACTTTGCAACTATGTATAGGAACAATGCTAGGACAATCAGGTGCCATTCACCTAACTTTGGGATCAAATATTCTCATGCTGGGAAAAAAAAGGTACAAGGAAGACACTAGACAGAAAACTTGAACAAATTTGCAGAGAAGACAGAATATCAAACACATACCAGGTTCAATAGCCTTGGAAAGCACCTCTGCTCGCTCAACTTCCCGTAAAAATTCCCCCTCAATCTCAGCGGACATATTCTCTGGCCCAACATCAGGGCAATCTTCTGTATCAGGGTTCCCATGCTTCTTGCTGCTGCTTCTGCTCAGTCTTGAGCTCTCTTGGCTTGGACTTCCTTCAATAGCTGACGCCGCCTGAGTATGGCAGATATGCAGCGCTTGCTTCCATATTGCAAGAATGACAAGTTGGATCGAGAATGCTTCTAGTAGCTTACTTGCCTTTATCTATACCAAGGACAATGACAGTTTTAATTTGAGAATACCAACAGTTTAAGTTAAGAGTAATAAAACTTGTAGAAGAAAAGAAAATTCATATCAATTTATTGCTTGAAAGGAAAGTCAACAGCAGAGGTAGGTATCACACATGCAAGGCAAGACCATCACTTTGCAAGGTGCATCAAAAACTTGAGTGGTCTTCCAATGCAATGGGTATACTAACTAATGTTAACGAAGAAATAGAAAAGGTGTGGTGTCCTCTCCCGAAAAAAAAAAAAAACCCATCAATGGTGCCATTAACGTTTCTGTATTGGCCATGTGAGGCAGAAGAAAATGTCTTATAACTCGAAAGTAACCCGCACAGAAAGTTTCAAAATAATAACAAAATGAGTAGTAGCAGTGCTATGCATATACAACTCTTTTGTCTGCATGAGCTAATTAACCATGCATATGCAACTCTATTTTTTTTAGCCAACAGAGGCCTATAAAATATTCTTCTTTCATTTTTCTGGTTAAACTAGAAACATGATTTTCAAACTTCCACAGGGAACTTTAAAGAGAATTGTATAAAAACTAGTTCAACAGAGAGTGAAGACTTTACCTTTTCGAGCACTAATTCAGTTATGGCAGTTGCACACTGCTGCAATGACTTAATCCTAGTCATGCAGTGAGTTGATGGCTGCTCCAAAGCATCTCCCAGATCAACAGATCCTTCAGAAGTCCCAGGAGCAGAGCTCGGGATTTCCAAGCTTCCAAAGAGGCAAAGATTTTTATTGGCAGTGCCAATTATGGGCATTGGGACACTTGGAGTAGTGTTTATGTAGGCAGGTGCTCGAGGAGGACTCTCTGACTTGGATTGTGCATTGCTTGGTTTGGAAGTACTTGCTGTGGAAGATGACACGTCCAAAGGGGGCCCAGAAACAAGAACATAATCTTGATCTATCAACTCCAGTGAATCCACAACTGCATTGCAATTGTAGAGTAAGTAAAAGCCTTTCATCCCTTGATATGGTATTATTAGGGACTTCTAAGCACATTATTATGAAGAAAGCAGAACACAACGAAGTTCATGCTACCTCTTGATCTCAGGTTCGCTGATCTTTGTTCGATGGATTTTGGAGGTTCATTTAGATTTTCATCCAATGCTTTTTTGATACCAGGCCTAAAACTAGCATTTTCCAAGTTCTGTCTGGCACTATCATATCTCGAAGTAAAATCCACATCATTGAGAACATTAGATGTTGCATCCCTTCCCCCAACTCCTGAATCAAGAGAAAATCCGTAGGTGGACTTCATCGGCAACATACTCTTAGAAACAAAAGGGCTACACTCTAGACCACTAGAATCGTCATCCAGAAGGAAAGGGAGACAATCCTCCTGAGAATTGTCATCAGCATTCCTCCCAAGATTGCTTTCAGAGAAAGAAAATCCATCTACTGACCTTGAAGATCTCCTGCGACTGCATAACACATATCGTTTAAGGTCTGAGATAAACATATATTACGATCATGGACATGAGAGCTTTTTCTCATTGTACCTTAATGATAAGTCTTTTTTCCTTTGAGACAGAAAAGGGTGATTAAAGAACTCCTCAAATGTAAGTCGTTCCACTGTATAATATGAAGAGAGAATTTTTACAAACAAGGAATAAGATGCTAAGCAAATATTTGTAACACAGTTAACAAATTTTCTAACATAGGTAGTTGACCAAGTGCTGGTGGGTAGAGGGGAACAAATTTGTGATACCAATCTGACTCAAATTTTTTTTTAATGTTGTTCTTTATGTAAAACAATAATATAAATTTTTTTTTGAAACTTTACACAACTTAAGCTTTTGGGTCGAGATGATTCTTTAACATGATATCAAAATCTTAATGATAATCTCACCACCTCCCATTCTCTCTAATTAGATTAATAAAATTAAACACAAGGAAGTGGTGGACTTGTGCAAGTTTCAAGTTTAAAAGGCTTTCATTTAAGAGGATGTGTTAGAGAGTAATATAAAACTATTCTCAATAGCTTAAACTTTTGGGTTAAGATAGTTTGCTAACATTATATGCAACCATTCAATGTAATTGGTCACAAGGTCGTTATTCATTACTTGGACTTTAAAATAAGAAAAAATATTTCAACTAGAATTAGAAATTTATGAATTCAAATTGAACCGTGTTATGCTAACAAAACTTTGATTTTTTGAACAAGTGACTCAAATCTCTTGAACATCCATAAGCCTTTCACTAATTAAAAAAAGAAGAAGAACAAGTAACTCGTTTGGTGCATCTCTTGAATATCCATAAGTCTTTCAGCTGTATGCAGATGAAGACATGCAGCAAACAATTAATCATGCAATTATATGAAATTTCATACATGGCATTCAGAAAAAAATATATCAATGATCACGTGTGTGTAAACATGGATCCTTTTTTTCCCAACTTCTTGAGTCTTTCACTTTATAACCGTATAAATTCAAATTTCAATCAACATTGCATGTTATACCTGGACTGCGACGCAACAATTTCTGGCATAAATCTTTACAATCGGCACTCAAATCCTTATTATCCAAAGGAAATTGCAACTGAGTTGATTTGACAATGTTCTGGAGCAACTGAGCACCACAAAATAGAGAATATACTGGTAAGGCAACAATAAACGCATGGAAATCACTAGGTTAACAGTGGTTAAGAATTATCATCAAACCCATGGAATCTAGAAGTTTACATGCTTATCAATCCAAAAAATCATTTGGTTTCGCACATAAACAAAGCTAATCCAACCTGTATTTGATTGTTTCCAGTGAATGGGGTTTTTCCTGTCACAAGCTGAAATAAAATGGCACCAACACTCCAGAGATCTGCCTGTGTATTCAGCTCAAGGTTAATAGGAAATATTTCACAAACATATCATTAAGACTTCACATATTACAGTGAATTTCACCTTAGCATCATACTTCTGAAGTTGCATTATCTCTGGAGCCATGTAGAGGGGTGAGCCACACAAGGTTTCCGCAAGGCCTTGAGGTTGTAGAGATCTGACAACAAGGACTAGAATCTTTTAATTTCAGAATACATGTTAACAAAATTCATAATAAACAAACAACGTATTATCACAGGTTTGTTTGTTACAACACCTCTAGCATGGACACACAATTTGGCATCCATAACAATTAGTTCAAGCTAATACTTAATATATTTATTTGTGTGTGAACGAGAGCGCACTAGTTTATATTAAAATTGGAGAACTTCAGTATCTAAACATGTTGAGGTGTGTTTCTACTTAGATAGGAAACACAAGTGGTTTACACAGGGAAGGGAGGGACGGCGCAGAGGACAATATTCAACCAATTCTCTATAAAGAAAATAATAACACTAATCACTGATTGGACCAAGTTAAAAGTAACGAACAGAGATAATGAGGAGGATTATCATCATTAGATACCTGGCAAATCCAAAGTCTGCAATTTTCAGAACTGCATTATCGTCACTAGTGGAGAGGAGGAGATTCTGTGCATATCAAAAATGAAGTACATCACATATAAAATCTTTCTTCAAGGACAAGATTAGTAGACAAGAAACTACATCCTCGCACATCAACAAACCACTCATCCTACAAAAATGTGCCGGTAAACTTTTCTTACAAATTTCCAATTTATATATTGCTCTACATTAAAGCTGACAAAACAGGGCTATAATCTCATGATCACGCAATCACCTAAACTGTAGTGTTTCCCTGCATGAATATTCTGATTTGGCATATCATCATTATAGCGAATGCAATCAAATACAACAGACTATCTATACACAAAGTAAACTAGAAGCAGATTAATGCAATGTTCAAAATCGTCCATCCAAGGAAACCAAGGATTAACCAAACCTGTGGCTTAAGATCCCGGTGTATCAAATTATTGTCCCGGAGAATTTGCAAACCAGCAGCTGCGAAACACAATAATATCAGACTCCGCCGGCCATCCTAAACGCAACAAAGTTAGTTAGGATATAATACCTAATTGTTGCATGAAATGGTTTGCAATTGCTTCTGGGACTCTCCCATGGCGTTGGATATACATAGAAAGATCACCACCCTTGCAGTACTCCAATACTATGTGTATTCTCCCCGGAGCCTAATTAATTATCATATTTAATATTAACAAAGAATAATTAAACTAATGAATAATTTAAAAGCAGCATACTGATTTTCCAAAAATAAAATATAAATAGATATGTTTTAAAAAAAAAATTAAAAAAAAGGAAACAAAAAGACAAACCTACCTCGATAATATCGTGCAAGCGAATAATATTAGGATGGTTAATCCTCTTCAAAATAAAAATTTCAGACATGAGACTCTCTTGTAATTTCTTACTAAGTCGATTCGTAACGATCTCTTTTATCGCGACTTCGGTTCCATGGACTCGGTGTCTCGCGTGCCAAACTACCGAGAAAGAACCCGACCCGATTTGCCTGCCCACCAAGTAGTCTCCAACTACCCTGCCGTTCCTCCCCGTAGCCTGAGCCATAATTCAACTCCTCCTCCTCCTCCTTCTTAAGAACCCTGGCTAGGATACAAACCCGGTTTCGGCTCCAGGAAATGAAGTTTGACCTTGGCTTGCTGGAGAGAGTGTATTGATATGATTTGACCCAAGTTTGAAGGATCCGACGAATTGGAATGGGTTAAGAAACGATGGAGAGAGGGGGGGTGGATTTTAAGGAAACAAAGGCTATGAGCTTTTCAAGACTACTTATTATATGCTATTAAAATATTAGCATTTCATTCTTGAAAAAGATTTACCAAATATCCCTCACAAACTGTATTTAACATCAATATTATAAACTTTCCTTTTTCTTTTTTCTGCCTGAGGTTTTTAAAAGATAAATTTTGGAGGAGGCAGGCGGAGATAGGGCCGCGATAAGTCGAGCTGAGTCGTGATTTTAACGTGACAAAATCCGCCTCACCTAATTTTAATTTTAACGAAGAAATTGTCTTCATCATGGTAACGAATCTAAAACACGAGGTCAAACAACTCGTCTAGATTCAAATTTGATTATTTGATGATGCCATAAGGAAACTAACATTAAATTTCATTTGTTTTATATTCAAATTTTCATTTCATTTTTATCAAAAAAATATAAAAATATGATTTAAGAAGAAATAAGATGAGATAAATAAACACACACCTTGTTTCATTATAATTTTCTTGAAATGCGTTTTTATTGAAAAGTCGAATAAAAAACCATCCAATAATGTCACTTAAGAAGAACTCATTTCTCGTCCATGTTGTATAAAGGACAACTTCTTTACATTTGTACATTACCTTGGTTTTAATTATCAATTTTAAAGTTTGTTTGGTTTTATATTTTAAAAGTATATTTTTAATTAATTTTTATTTTTATTTTTTTAAATTAATTCTTTTAGTGACATTACCTTGGTTTTAATTATCAATTTTAGAGTTTGTTTGATTTTATGTTTTAAAAGTATATTTTTAATTGATTTCTATTTTTATTTTTTTAATTAATTCTTTTATTATTTTCATGTTGTTTTGAGGTGTTAATATTAAAAATAATTTTTTAAAAAATAAAAATTTATTATTTTGAAGTATTTTTGAATAAACAATATTTTAAAAAACAATTGTTATGACACTTTTAAATACCCTAGGATGATATTTTTATTTTACCATTGTCTTTTTAAATTGTTACTAGCTAGCACTATATTGTTTACTACTCTACTTATAGCATTTTAAAATACATAAATTAAATAGTTAAAGCATGAATGTTTTAAAAGAATGTCATTATATAACTGCTGATATTTATATTAAAATACATAAAAATTATCATTTATACCATAAAAAGATTTATTTTTTTGATAGTTTGTTACATGAAGATAACTGTGGCGAGATAATATGTGAAGGATTTGATAGAAACCCTCATTTTCATCAGCAATTTCATATCATTCAAGGTTTGATTTTTTTCTTATAAAAATAGCAATTTATAACCAATCTTTGTTTGTTGTTTTAGTTCTATATTCTAATTTAAAACAAAATATTATTATGCATAATTAATACTAAATTTTTTTGACAATCTTTAATTGACTTCAAAGATATTAAGATCATCAATCTTTCTCAACAAAGACTGCTTTGGATTGTTAACGGTGATGAGTTTAACAATACTAGTAAAATAAGAGTTAGTAAAAGAGAATTTGACATTTTACTGAGCTCAACTGAAGAATTCTTCAAGTTGTTGGTTTTATACCTTATAAGAAAATGATCATTAAGCTTTTAAATGTTGCCAAAAGGCTAGAAGGAGCAGTAACAATAGCGATTAATAAAAAAAAAACCCAAAAATAAGCAGACAGCAGTAACAATAGCGATTAATAAAAAAAACCCACAAATAAGCAAATAATATAGCAACAACACATAGGTTGGCCAATAACTACAATAAAAGAAACACCAAAGCTCTGATACCAACTCAAAATAGGTTAGAAATTGTATCTATTTATCTTATAAGGAGGATTTTTATAGTGTTGCAATATAATTGGTAAGTAGTTATACTAGGAAAGTAATTACAATCCTTACAATATAGTATAATCCAATAAATATAAAGAAACTATAACTAATTGTTATAATTAGCTCGTGACTCATGCTAACAAGTGTTTGTGCAAGCTATAGGCCTCATATAACCATTAGACATTAGTAATTTGTTATTGTCTTATACTACTATAAATAACCACAAAAAATAAGAAATGTTATTAAAATTTGATTTTTTGCTCAAAGTAAGAATTATAAGTCTTAATAAACCTATTTTTAACATGACTAAAAAACTCTTATGACCCCTCCTCTCCTAGGCACACCCAAAAGACATATTCATTCTTTCTTAGGTACACTTAAGAGAATGGGTAAGCCTTAAATAGGGGCTTGATAGTGTACTAAGATCTACACATTGGGTCTAGTAGTATGCCAAGCTTTTAGCACACCTAAGGGAATAACCATCATTCATTGACACGCCTAAAAGAATCAAATAATGTGGGTCTCGCAAACATGTCAGACCCAAAGCACTTGGAGTTGATATTCCGCTAAGTTCATTGCTTGTGGACTTGGCATTCAGCTATATCCAAAATAATATGGATCTAGGAAATATGCGAGACCTAAGATATTTGGACTTGGTAGTTAGCCAAGTCCATTACACTTGGATTTGGCAATCAACCACGTCTAAAATAACACAAGTCTGACAAATATATCAGACCTAAAATACTTGGACTTGGCTTCTAAGTCCAAAGTAATGACCATTCTCTTTTGGGCATGTTCAAGGGAATAACCATTCTCTAAAACTAAGGGAATAAAATAATGTGTGTTTGAAAAACATATCAAATTCAAAACACTTGGACTTAACAGTCAGCCAAGTCCAAGATAACATAAGTTTGGTAAACTTGCTAGACCTAAGGCACTTGGACTTAACAATTAGCCAAATTTTTTGCAATTGGACTTATCAGTTATCCAAGTCTAAAATAATATAGGTTTGCCACATATATCAAACCCAAGATGCTTGGACTTGAAATTCAGTTAAGTCCAAGATAACGTGAGTCTAACAAATATGTCAAACATAATATACTTGGACTTGATAGTTAGCCAAGTCTAAGGTAATGACTATTCTCCCTTAAGCATGGCCAAAAGAATGATCATCCTTATTTGGCACACCCAAGAAAATGAGCATCCTCCCTTGACACGCTTAAGAAAATGACTAACCTCTCTTGGGTCTAACCTCAAGGAAGAACTCAGCCTTCATGGGTTTAACTACATTTGATGTTTTAGTCCTCAATCTAACTACACCTTTTAGGTGTATAAAGTCCTTCAAAGACCCATCATATTCTCATCAAATATTAATATAGATGTAAGGAATATTTATTCCTCATTAAATGCTATTAGGATAAAATCACATTTTAGACCCTTTTTTCATAAAAAAAAAGACTCGTGGGCTATAAATACACCATGAGATCTTTAGAACAAATATAATGATAGAAGCTTTTTATATTTCTTTTTATGTGAATTTGAAGGGTAAGGCCTACCTACTCCTTAATGTTTTCCAATCTTTATCTTTCTTATTTTAATAGGACCAAATAGAAGGTCATCCCACAAACATAGCCTTGTGGTACTCTCTTTTTTAGCCCCTCACAGTTCTTTTCCTTTTAAGCTTAAGGTCCACCTTCCCCTCTTTTGGTCTTTGTCCTTCTTTTTTATTATGATAAACAAATACAATTTTTATTATCTATTGCACATATATTTTCAGAACATCTCTCTCTAAAATAATCTTGTATTTTCTTTATCTAAAAAGATATTTATTTAAGTATAAAAGAGTCTCCACCTCTACTAAAAGGAACCTTTTGCAGGTATTAAGCACAAGCCACCTTAGCCTATGAAGTACCAAGTATAAACTATTAACTACCTTAGTTATGGAGAATGAATAAGATTATTATAATCAATTGATTAATCAATTTTCCAACCTAGAAGCCCTATTCCTAGGCTATTTGGATTTTTAAGACTTTATTAATGGCCTCGTCTATAGATAACTAATAAAAACACCATTGATTTCTTTATAAGGTTTGCTTTCAACATTACTAGGTTATTCCATAGCACATAACCAATGCCTAGCTGGGTTAAGATGTGAGACAAGTCCGCTCGTTACTTTAGACATTCCTACTTAGCAAAAACTTCAACAACTTACTAGCTAGGTACAACTCCTTAACTCACATCAATATCACATCTCAAAAGTTCTCTTTAACTCCTTTTCATTTGTTGCTCATAATTTTATATAGTTCACCTTTTTATAGTTCTCTTTAACTCCTTTTCATTTGTTGTTCATAATTTTATATAGTTCACCTTTTTATGGTTTGACCTCGATCTTGTCGAGCTATTTATTACTTCAACACTCCTACATTTGAGATAAAACACAATCTCTTGATCGTGTCAGTCTTCCAAGTGCTAAATGCACTCATCTCGAGGGGATATATGTGATTTTCCTATTGTTATATACACCACTTTTCATAGGATGAACTTAGTTTCTCCAATGTTATATGCACCAATCTCCAAGGGATAAATATGATCTTCTTAATGCTATATGCAATACTGCCCATGAAATGGACGTAGTCTCCCTAATGTTATATGCATCACTCTTCATGGGATGGATGTAATCTCTCTAATGCTATATACATCACTCTCTAATGGATGGACGTAGTCTTCTTAGTGTTATAAACATCTCTCAAAGTAATAGATGTGATCTTCTCAGTGTTATATACATTACTTTACATGGGACAGATGTAGTCTTTCCAATGCCATATGCACCACTCTCTAAAGGATAGATGTGATCTCCTGAGTGCTATATATATATCAATCTCTAAGGAATGAATATAATCTCACTAGTGCTATATATAGCATTCTTCAAGGGATATATATGACTTTTCTAGTGCTATATGCACGTATCTATCTTTAAGAGATTGATGATTAGTACTTAAAAGTGCATTTTTATCATAGTTTTATATTATTATTTTGCACTTGAAGTATCAATAACTCCTTAACTAAAGCATGTTTTATAATAATATATCTAATAATATAAGATACCTTTAATTTGTGGTAAATGTTCTTTTTAAATGCAGGTTTATCACATAAATGAAAGGATTGATTGATGACTTCAAGATCTTTAATTGCAAGGGCAAAGAGATGACCAAAATTAGAAAAGAGATGTTAGTGTAATTCAAACCAAAACACTGTTTGATAATTGAGTCATATCTGGAGTTGTAGATCTCA